TCTTTTTTGTTTCCGATGATAATAAGTCAGTATGATGATAAAAATATATAAAGTAATAATTGAAGTAAAAAATTTAGATAATTAGATAATTTTTCCTTCAAGAAAAAATAATTAAAATAACCACATTCAATATCTAATATCATTTTAAATCAAAACTATTTTTTTTGTCGTTTCCCTTTTTAAAGATTAAATCATTGTCTTTATTCCTTTTGTTTGTGTTTTCATATACAAAATAGTAATAAAACAACTTAGCAACAACCAAGCTTGCTAAAGAAACCCTTCTTTGATTCCAATGAAACTACGTCATTAGTATTCTTAACTTGATGTTGGTTAGCTTGCATGGTGTTTTGTTGAGCAGTTGATGGTTCTTGTTGATAATGATATTTGTTGGAGTTGCTTTGTTGCAAGTTATTATTACGGTAGTTCATACCATTAGCACGGTTCTGGTTTTGGGCTTGACTTGGAGTTTGTTGCTGTTGTTGAGCATATTTCATTTGGGTTTGTTGTTGATAAGCTTCATATGAAGTAGGATCCAATTTACCAGGAGGGTTGAATTGGTTGCTTGGTGGTTCAGTGTATTCAGCTCTTGGTGGTTCATTTGGTGGTATATGTTGTTGTGGTGGTGGTGGTTGATTCAAGTTATTGTGAATAGCTTGAGAATGCATTTTATTTCTGTGTCTTCTTGACTTGTCATTTGGAGGATTTGGATGACCGTAACCGTGTAAGTTTGGTTTTTTGTTGATTGTTAAATCCCAGCCTCTGCCACCATTTAATTTCATCCAATCATATTCACCATCTGCGACGTCTCCTAGATCATCTAGAACAGATAATAATAAACCTCTGTAACCTTCGTAATCTGGGGTTTCTTCAAACGATAGATTTCTTACAATTTCCAAATATCTACCAAATTGAATTGGTAAACCTTGAGCCAAATCGTACACATTAGTTGATCTTTTCTTTTCTCCTATCTTTTCATATTTTTGTTTATTATTTGGAGCTTTCAAACCTTGCCATGGTAATTGACCTCTTAAGAAATAGAAGAAGACATGACCTAATGCTTCCATATCATCTCTACGAGATTGTTCTCTTCCCAAGTGGGTGTTTATTGACATGTATCTTGCGGTACCACTTAAAGATTTTTTTTCTCTATAAGGAATGTGTTGTTTTGTTTTTGGATCTCTGTACTGCTTAGCCATTCCGAAATCGATCAAATGAACTTTATTTTCATCAGGTTGGCCAGGTCTTCCGATTAAGAAGTTGTCAGGTTTGATATCTCTGTAGATCAAGTCGTGTGCGTGCAGATCTTCGATCAAAGTGATCATTTGCACGGCGACCTGGACCACTGATTTGACAGAAAACCTGCGGCCACACCAATCGAACAAATCCTCCAAAGAAGGACCCAAAAGATCTATGACCAATATATTGTGGAGACCTTCTTGGCCGAAATAGTAAGCGGAAGGCACACCTGGGGTACCTTGTAGAATTTTGTAGGTACGGTATTCATCTTTCAATTGAGGAGCTTCAGTTTTACGAGGTTCGAACTTGATTGCGACGGCCAAGCCATTGATCATGTTAGTACCTTCGAATAGGACACCGAAGGAGCCTTCACCGATTTTCTTACCAATTCTATAATGTAGGCCTACGATAGTTGAATCGTCTCTTGAAGAGACGGACTGGCTGTTACTGTTGCTCATGTTGCTTTGGTTGTTGATGTTAGCAGTTGAAGGAGAAGCAGTTGCGATATTGTTTGCAGCGTTGTTCATTATTACACCACTATTGTTTACTAAATTATTGGTATTGGTATTCATCATATGTCGCTAATTATTACTGGATGTGATGTTAGATAGATATAACCACAGTAATAAGACAACGATAAAAGAGGGAAAGGGGGTAAAACTGGTTGTGTGATAGTGCCAGTTCTAGTGATTTTGATAATTAATATTTTTTTTATTAAATTGAATTGGAGTGATCTATATCCAAAGTACTTTACTTGTGTTTTCTACTTGATGAATTCCTATATTTGAGAAGAATCAGTATCAGAAGGAGAGGGTGATAAGATCAAAAAAGCGGTGTGATACAGTTCAACGACTTAACAAACCAAAGACCAAAGAAATAAAATAAAATAAAATTAAGTAAAATAAAATAACCAAAAAACAGAAAGTGTATATGCGTATGTGTGTATATATATAGCAGTACGATATCTGTAATTGAGATGGTATTGGTATTGGTATTTAGATGGGATGGAATGGAATGGGATGAAGTGAAATGGAATAGAATGGAATGGAAGTGTAGATAATAACAAAAAAGTGTATGAGTGAGTAGAGGAGAGTTTATAGTAGGAGTATCCGCTGGGTCTGATTTAAGAGAAGATGGGGGGTAAAAAACACAGAGAGAGAGAGAGAGTGGATGTGAGTGTGAGTGGAGGTTGATACAAACAAGAGGTTTAAATATAGTATAGTGTAGTGTGGTATGGTATGGTATGGTATGGTATGGTATAGTGTGGTATAGATTAAGTTAGACTAAGCTATGCTAAATTATTGAAGTTACGAGTGGATAACAATTAAGAGATAAACAAATGGAATCAAACGGAACCAAGTGTGAATTGGATTGAAGTGAAGTAAACCAAACCAAAATTAACAAAATAAAAAATAAAAAATAAAAAAAACTACAACCACCACCAACGACAACAACAACAACAACAACAACCACGAGAACACACACAGCAGAGCGACGAAAAGAGTAAAAAAACCAAACGAAAATTTGATCCAGAGCAGTGGGCTGGGTGGTAGCGGGAGGAAGAGGAGGACAGTAGCGAGGGAAACGAGGCAACACAAGCACACACAAAGACGGAGAGCAGATTTTTGGGTTTGGCCGGGTGACACAGAACGGTGGAGGCAGTCGTGTAGGGTGAGCTGGTGTGGCGGATGGGGTTGGTCATGTGAGTGTCATGTGACTGGATCGGTTGGTTGCATCCTATACGTACATACATATCTTTCTTATCTTGAATGCTATATAAATGTATCTGTTGCCGTTACCGTTACCGTTACCGTTCATGGTATTGGTGGCATAACTGTATTCCACATTCCACCACTGCCATTAGCTTCATCTATTCATCAGAGGTAAATGTTTAAAATATATACAGGTTACAAACAGTGTAGTGTTATGTAATTTAGTCTAGGTATTTAAAGTTGAACAACCCAACTGCAGCGTTGGGTCACGTGTATGTATCACTAGCTGACATTGTGGGCATACTTGTATTTGTAGTTGTATTTGTGTTTGTGTTTTGCTAGTAAAAATCTCCTTCCCACTTCACTTCAATTCAATTCAATTCAATTCAATTCAATTCAATTCAATTCAATTCTTCTTGTCATTGAACTCCTTCTGTAGAACGGCCAACTCCTTCTCATCAATCGGTGGGATCGGAACATCTATAAAATCATTATCCTTATGCGATAAATTGAACGTATACACATACACACCCGTGGTTATACCTAACAACAACCCCAACGCAATCATATTCTTCTTGAAATATGGTTGTCTGGCTCTGATCATCGCCGGTGTCATTTTCCAGGTCTTTTTGTCCAAATAACGTGAAGGTTCCAATGCCATCTTTCTTCTCTGTCTAGTCTATATAGATATTTGTATCGTGTCCTGTCCCGTCGTATCAACACTTGTAGTCAATCGTATCCTAACCGAATGTCCCCAAAACTACAACAACTCTATTATACTATACTATACTATACTATACTATACTACACTATACCATGTATATTAGCTCAACTCATCCTTGTTTAAATCCTTTTTTTATATAGACGTTAACGAGATCAAATTTGAAATTGTATGTGTTTTTCGGTTTTTTTCTTCTCATTTTGACTGTTTTTTTACCCGCACACTAGCTGGTGAAAGGAGGGTAAGTGCGACGAAAGAGCGAATCTGCTGACAGTATTTCCAAACGGTGGTATATTCCCCATGAAAATTGGCATTTGCACTTGTCTGTATACTTTGGGTTTTTATTACGCATTGCTACAACAATTAAAATCTAAGAAATATCGGCCACGTAAAACTGTTGATTGTATAGTATCCACACTCACACTCACACTTTCACTAACTCGCTGTCTCTGTCTCTCTCTCTCTCGAATTAGCAATCCTGTCACATGATGTGATCACTATTCACGTGAGATAACTTTTCAGAAAATGTCCACTCCAAATGAAGCTTATTTAAAAGATTTAACGTTGAATTCATCAAAACTATCAGCTTCAACAGATTGTATATTGTTCAGGTTCAGACCCATATAAGCATAGCAGCTGCAATGACACAGGGCCTCGCAAGAAAACTCTCAAGAGATAAGCCACATAGAGATGCTTTATTGAAAAATTTGGTCTCAGAATTATTCTCACATGGTTCAATTATATCAACTCATGAAAAATGTAAAGAAGCTTCAAGATTAGCTGAAAGAATCATTACCTGGTCAAAAATAGATATCGCTGAAAATAAAAATCGTAGAGGTATCAAGAATTCACACGAGAAACAAAATATCCAATCAAAACTGTTCTTATCTGGTGATAACTCAAAATTGCTGAAAAAACTCTATACATATTTAGCACCAATTTATTCAAAGAGAACTTCTGGTTTTACGAGAGTATTGCATTTACCACCAAGAGAAAACGATTCTGCAAGACAATCTGTATTGGAATTGGTAGACTACCCAACTTCAACTACCGATGGTCAACTACAAAGAGGTAATTTGAAATTATGGTTATTATGTAAAACAACTTTATTAGATGAAAGTTTAGGGAACGATTATGCCCAATTGACTTTGAAAAACTTACATAAACAAACACTATTCAAAAGTAAAGATGAATTCATAAACGAAATAAAATCAATTAGAAGTTATCTATCACCAAATCAAGAATCCAAAGATGATGACGCTCTGAATAACTTAATTGATAAAATTTACAGCTTTAAACAAACTAGCCCTGAACTTAATGAACAACTGCTAGGTTACAAAATCCTAGACAAAAGACCAGAAAGATCATAACAACCTGAACTCCATAGATATATAAATCATAGATATATAGGTCCCTTCAATTCATATTCACTTGTAAATATTTACATCATATTACTACCTCATTAACTTTTTTTGTTTTTTCTTATTATGTAAAAATATTAAAGATACGCGTACTGGCTTATTATTGCCTACATTAAACTTTCATTGACATCGATATAAAAATGGATATTGAATAATATATTGCTATCATTTATCATATGATTTATTGAATGAATGAACATAAGAGCAAGGAAATAGATCATACATGTCAATATGACTGATTCTATGGAGGTTGATAATAATAATACTGTCGAAAAATCAATTGAGGATTTAAAAGTACAAGAAGAAATTAAATTGAAATCACCACATTTACCACTCTCAAAGGTTAAAAAAATTGCAAAATGCGATCCTGAACATGTAATTACTTCAAATGCAGCTTTTGTAGCAACTTCATTTGCTACTGAAATATTCATCAAAAATCTAACAGAAGAAACTTTAGTGTTATCCCAACTGAATCAAACAAATTCAACCAAACAAGTTAAAAGGTTGACCTACGAAGATTTGGCAAAATGTGTAGCAAGAAATGAAAAATTTCAATTCTTAGCAGATGTATTACCAATGACTAAGAATTTAAAGAATTTGGTTAAGGAAAACAAAGTAAGGTATACTAATGCACTACCCGTTGATATAAATCAAACTACATTGCCATTTACATCTGCAAATGGCTCTGCAAACTCTCGAAACAGTGATGAGGAAGAAGAAGATGACGATGACGAAGAAGAAGAAGAAGAAGAGGAAGATGATGAAGTTAACGATGACGATGATGAAGATGACGTTGATGAAGTAGAAGATCAACAAGCTATAGAGAAAGAGCAGAAATTACAGGAAGATTTAAAAGAAGTTGAACAATTGAATCATGTTGACGATATCGATAAACCAGAAATCGACAATAATGTTGAGGATATCAATATAGATTCTGATAACTCAGACGAATAATTAATATTAATAAAAAAACAAACCACCAATTGAAAATAAATGAATGAATAGGTTGTTATGTAGGTAATTAAATCTATGTATCCGTGTATCATATAATTAATGAATCAAAATATAATTTTAGAAACCTTTGGATATTTTCAATATCTTAATTGGATGTAACATCGCGTGGTATAATAACGATCATCTTATATCAACTGATTTAAAATATCGATATACACTCCTTAACAACATGAATTAAGTTTAATCTATAACTGAAGAGATAAATTATTAAGTATTACTAGATATTGTACTGTAGTGAACTGTAATTTTAAAATGGGATTATTTGATAAGATTCAAGATATCGAAAATTATAATAAAGATTTAGCCGATAAAGAGATAGAAACTAGAAGAGATAATGTTGTTGATTCATTGACATCAGCTTGGAATCAAACTGCAGATGCTTTATCTTCTCCATCTTCCTGGAATCTAGATACTTTTTCAAACGATAAGATTGATGATTTATTGACAAATACTTCAGATACGGTTGGCTCTTTATTTAATTTGTTTGGTGCTCCTGATAAATTCTCAAGACCAAGACCCTTAAGAGCAATAATTGATAATCCATTTGTTGATGGTGAAGTTGCTAAACAAGGTATCACAGGCTTGTACAATTATAAGACTCCGACAGAAAGTCAATTTGAAAAATGTCAAGAAATTGGTGGATTGTCTGTTTGGAACACTAAAGGTTGGTGGAGATGCTTATTCCCAAATGCTGTTGTACAAAAGAATTTGGATTCCTTAAATATTAAAGACAATATTGAAGATAATGTTTTAACTAGGGAAAAAGTTGAATCAGATAAAGATCACCAAAAATATGGTTTGTTCTTTACTGATTTCTCAAATTACCTACAATGGAGACTTCATATGAATAGACTAATTAAGGAAAAAGAACAGCAAAAGTATGAAACAGATAAGTTAATCAAATCTGATGATTTCTTTTCCACAACTCCTGAAAATCTAATGGTAGATGAACCCTCTAACTTCGGATCAACTAACGGTAAGACAGTCGTGGGGCAATCTAAAAATGTATCTTATTCTTCAACCTTGGAAGGTAAAGAAAGGTTGAAAGAGTGGAAAACTTACTATGATGATGGTTCAGTATCCATTAAGCGTGAAACTAAAATTGAACCAGCCGATGGGGGGAAACCTAGGACTGAAGTAACTACTTCTTTGATTCCTCCAAAAAAATAGATACTATTGGTTTATATGACTCTGAATGACTTAAAACTGTATTCCCAAAAACCCAATATCGAGTTGAAACAAATACTTCATAATCTTTGTTTTAGGATATAAATATATGTATGTAAATAGTTTATTTATGCAGTTGACTTTTTCTAATTCTTTAAAATTAGCGCGCTTGTTTGCCAACCACCTGCTGCAACAGCCATTCCTGCAGAACCCTCGCCAAGTTCCAACTTAGTAGGTTTCAAAACTCTGATATCTCTATGGTTTTCAACATTACCTACATGTAATTCATCGACGATATGATCCGGTGATCCTAGACCGAGACACCCAGACCATTGGCTTTCTAATCCCCAGGTATAAATGTTTCCTGATTGTGTTAAACCTATATGATGGTAATCCCCTGAGGCTAATGAAATAAAGTGATCATCAGGATCATCTAATTTTAGAATAATTCTTGAATCGACATCTATATTCCCATCATGTAGCTTGAAGAAATAACAATCATTATCAGTAAATATAACTAACGAACTATAGCTGACTGTTATTTTTAGGATCTTTCCGGTTATGTCTAAGGACAATGTATTAACTACTCCCTTTTCATATATGTTTAATTTATTACCATTGTTAGTAATAAATAGTACTTTTTCATCATGAATACAAGCAAAATCTACAACCTTGGAGTCTGTTTCTGAACCAGAAGTTCCTGGAATTATCTTATAATTGGCATATGAAAATTTATCTCCCTTTTTTAACACTGAACGGCTGTTCCATACTATTAGACCAACATGATATACGTAGGCACAATTAAAGTTCCACCCACATCCTATTTTTAGTATAGGTTGAGTGTTAGTTGTATCCAGATCTTTAAAACGCAATAACACTCCATGGTCCGAATCAGTAGAATCCCAAGAATAAATGTCATTATTATCATCAAGTGCTAAAAAATGGCTTCTTCCCGAACAAATTGAAGAGAATTTAATATCCTCAACTGTATGTTTCTCTGTATCACCATCGTCATTTGAGGTCTTATTATAAAACTTCAAGCTATTTCTTGGGAACATCCTTCTTATACTTTGATTTTCTGGTAATGTTTGGCTTGAAGCACGTTCCATTTCTGCAAAACCTGCATAAATATCAGTATGTGGATGGCCAAGATTGAAATCTGAATTATTTGGTGGAACACCAGGAGGTATTGAAGCAATTGGGTTAATAACTCTATTGTGCGGTAGCATTGTTCTTCCACTCAATGTTCCAGTTGTATTAATATGTGACCTTCCACCAAGGCGGACCCTTGGCAGTGAATCTTCTATTTCTTCAATTAATTCTCTATATGGATTGTAATCACTTTCTCCCTCAGCGGCTCCTGGACCTTTATGCCCTCCAGTAAAAGTCGTACCTGTAGAATATATTTCCCCCGATTTTGTTAGTATTTGGAATGAAAATCCACCGCCTGAGATTTGTACCACTGCAAAATCATCAATAGTGTCATCATTTAATTCAATCCATGGTACCGAAATTGGTGAATTGATTCCCGCCTTACCTTGAATCCCAATTGTATTAATACTAGATTCTGGAATCTCAGCAGATGATGATAAAGTATAACCTAATCGGCCATTTCTTAAACACCCCCAGGAATAGAATCTGGTATTTTTTGTTCTCATTGTATATCTATCTTGCCAAGAAGCATTGGGAAACCTTTTCACTAAAATATTCTCGGCACACGTTTTAAATTCACTTTGTTCATTAATTTGGAAAGGTTCTTCATTGGTATTTAAAGTGCTGTAAACCTTATGAAATAATTCATGCCATAATGTTTCAGATGATCCATAGTTTAGTAATTTATGAAAATATTTATTAGTCAATGATAAATTTCTGATATCATCTGGAGATAAAAAAGGAAGCGTTGCTTGAACAATATCGGGGGACCAATTTGTCTCCAAGACTGGTTTTGTCGGATTTGATTCTTTATCAGTCATCTCTTAGCTTTTCTTAGTATCTCGAATAAGTGATAGAGTCAAAGATACTCGGATATCTATTATTAAACTTATAGTATAATCTCAATGATATGTATCGTCGATTAAAGCACTTTATATAACATCATAAAATCTTAGAGATTCATTGAATGTTTGTTGTAAAAGATCGATTGAAGAGGCAGAGTCGGCTGATGTTATTTATATAATAAAATATCCCTTAAATGGAATATTTTGATTTAAGTATGAGTTTCAGTCCGGGTAACTACCATACATTTTGAGACTCGAAATAGGATGTCAGTAAATATTCAAACAATCGCTGACGCCAACTGGAATAAACTTGTAAAGGTTAGGTATAGATCAAATATATTCAAATTATGGTAACTAAATTATCTACAATTTATTTATTTATGTGTGTATGTGATTTTGATATGTTAAAAAGACTTTTATGACAATAATTGAAAAATTAACATTTTGACGGCTACTTTACTCTTTGATTATTCGAAAGTTAAGGAAAATGTAATTTTTTGATGGGAATATAAAATTATTCAAATCGACTCCATAAGAATAACCATTTATCAAAAAATTCCAGTTGGATCAGTTTCTATTCAAGTACAAAAATTCAAACTTTAAAATCCATTGAAGTATATCAAGTAAGCCGGATAATTCTGCTTAATCGAAAACTAAAAGGAGATAAATACCAGTCACGAAATCAATTGTCGCTTTTAACTGTTCACTACAGATCGTCCTCTGCTATATTATATAACTGCCAATATTTAATAAATCTTGACATTAAATAGTTTTGCCAATCTAACTTAAATAGTCTTCTTTTATAACCAATCTCTTATAATCAGAAATGATCACCTAACTTACAGTGTATAAAATATATACAATAATTAGAACAGGTACCTAACACAGCTTTAACCATAGCAACAACATGCTTATTTAAGCTTGGGCTAGATACCAGGTAAATGGAGTGAATATATATATTATCAAGCGATCAAGTATCCTGTAGAATGATTTTTGAATATAAACTTCAAAAAACACCTAAGTGTTTATTATTTCAATAGAATATATTTTATGCATTGTTACAAATGTTATTTTTAGTTGATTCTATATATTGATTTTTCTAAAAATAAATAGGCTCTTATTTTATGATCACCACCTCTATCATATCGTCATCTTCTACATCTTGATCCTTTACCATGGAATCAAGGTCTATCTGTTCATCATCAAATATCAATTTTACTTTAGTACTTTTTGGTAACTTTCTATGGAGAATATAATATTCTGCTAATTTGAAAAACCTGGTTGTCTCTCTTGCATTAACGAATATTTTCTTGTTATCATTGCCCACCAAGGCTAATTTAACAATATTCTGTTGTAGATCTGTAGTTGCCTTCCCAATAATATCAACAGCATTTTCTTCATCACCATCGATGTGCATAGGGTCTTCAGCAGTACCCTGTGAAGGTACAGATATAGGAATGGATTCATTTAATTCATTTTCATATTCTTCATATTTCTTCTTATTCTCATCTATCTGGCTTTCGATTCCAAAGTTCTTAGAGCTTCCCACTTCAGTTTTGTTGGTATTTTCCTTCTGATCAACCTCTAATTGAGCTTTGATATCAGCTTCAAATTGTTGTTCGTTCTCTTTTGATATAATTGTTAATTCTATATGGGATATTTCACTTTGGAACTCTAAGGGAATCTTTAAAGAATTGCATGTCATAAATGGTAACAGTTTTGCTCTATCCCAATAGACTGTAACCAAGTCTGTCTTATAGTTTCTTTTTTTGACCCTGGAAACCTTATATATTTTGGAATATGAATCAAGTATTGGTTGCATAATCTCTGAGAATTGCTGTTTCCCTAAAACTCTTGCCTGTAACTTCTTATCAACACTTCCATCCAATTTTGAAGTAAAAGTGATGTTATATATCCTATTTGGAGCCATATCTGAAGTAGGAGAAGGTACATTTGTTAAGGTATTCGAGTTCATTCTTATAGCCTTTGAAAAATCATCATTTTCCTCTTCCTCTTCGTACTTTTGACGTTTACTTGGTTCTTCTCTAGAAACCGTTCTATCTAACCATCTTTTATTGCGTTTCGACTTCGACCCTTCTATGTTTTTCTCTACAACAGAAAATTCCTTATCAGAAGAGGTATCCTCCTCATATGAATCAATTTCATGAATACTACTAACATCCTCAACCTCCACTTCATTGTTTAAATGTAACTTGTCATCCTCTTTGGCTCCTGCCTCATCAATATTAACACATCCGCTGTTCCTATCATCCTTTTCTTCCTCATCTCCTTCATCACTGAATTCTGAATTTATCAAATTATTACTTTCTTCTGGATCACCTAATTTGGTGCCTCCATTTATTTCAGATTCATATTCACTTTCTGAATTGCTGTGATTATGAAAGAAGAAATCATCCTCATCACTATCTGAAATCTCAACCATTGTCATATCATGTGCATCAATCTGAGCTTTATACTACTACCCTTGACTGAAAATAATGAAGCATAAAAGCATATGATCCATTAAACCAAGTTCAAAGATCAAGAACAAATTAACCATTTGTTGAAGTTTAATATTTTGTATTACGTTTAATTTTTTAAACTACAAATCTACTTATATTTTTACAGTTG